CTCTCTCTCTCTCTCTCTCTCTCTCTCTCTCTCTCTCTCTCTCTCTCTCTCCTTCCCTTCCTCCCCTCCCTCTCTCCCTGTTCATCAACTCTAACCCTCCCTCTAAGTTTAGTGTAATCCCCAAACAACGGGGGACTGGCTAGCTGGCCCAGACCTTGCCACTGACACAAGCAAGAGACAAGAGACCGCCTCAGGGGCTAACCAACTGACCGTAATTTCCACACCGGTAGACAGGAAGAACTTATCACGTGACCCGCCCCTCCCACCAATCGCTTCCGGCCAGTGGCGAACATTGTTGTACTTTTCTACCGCGATGGCAATTGGCCGGGCTCAGGGCCAGAGTGAGCCTTCTGCAGTCTTAGTTGCTGTTTAGATGGCTCGCTTTTGCTTTGGCGTTTTTGATCTAGGGGTGTCGCCTTGTGATGGTATTGCGGGTGTACCAGAGAGCCTGGTGTGTACTCTGTAGTTAGCTGAACGCAAGCACGCTTGTTTCTTGAACTAGCAGCACTAGTAGCCTTGGTCGATTTGTTCCCAGGAGGAGTGAAACTGCCTCTCGCTTTTCTCTGACAGATGTAGATCTCTAGATGTGGATGGGTGGTTGGCGGGTGCTCTGGTGTGGGTTGCTTTTGCTCCTTCTTTCCCATCAAACATTTATCGTCCTTTTAATCTCTCCTTCTTGTTTATGTTTGTTGCTCTCTTGTAACACCTCTAATTTTCGGCACCCAAATGACCATGACCTTACTGTGTTGCAAGTGCTGTTAAAGACTCTTTTTCTATAATAATGACACGGGACAGGTTCAATATATAATAATAGTCTCTGTCTGTCATAAATGTCTTCTTCTTCTACCATCACCCAACGACATCACCCCACAACATCAGCAACAACATCAGCAACAACATCAGAAAATGGGTTGTTGGCCAGAAAATGGGTTGTTGGCAGGTGCTCTGGTGTGGTTTGCTCCTTCTTTCCTATCAAACATCTGTTGTACTTATCTCTCCTCCTCCTTCTTTTTTTTGGTGTGTTTGTTACTCTCTTGTAACACATCTAGTCTTCTGGCGCTCGTATGACCGTATGCAGTTGCGAGCGCCGCATGTATATATATATATATATATGTGTGTGTTATATTAATTGTACAACTTCATTACTTCGGTCGCCGAAAACTTCCCAACCACTGAACTTTCCAATTTGAAAAAAAATAACGGTGGTTCAGAATCATTTAAAGTGTGCACATTTATATTAATGAGTCTCTCTCTCTCTCTCTCTCTCTCTCTCTCTCTCTCTCTCTCTCTCTCTCTCTCTCTCTCTCTGTCTCTCTCTCTCTCTCTCTCTCCCCCCCCCACAAGAGAAGAGCGGTCTGACACT